TGTGAGCTTCACCTTTAGTAAACATCACAGTGAGATGTGTTGAATCTATTTGGCCCATCTTCATCTTGTTCACATCCCCTGGCTTTGGTGTAGTCTTGACCGTTGGCTTCTTGTTCATAACCTTTGCTATCTCCTGATCCATAGTAGCAACTTCATGGATGTAGGAGGCCAACATTCTCTTCAAGTGTTCTAGAATGGGCTCATATTCCTTTGGATTAGTGAGCAGAATGTTGTATAGCAAAATCCAATCATGGGGATTGAGATTAAGGAAGGTCTGCAAGAGAGATAGTCGACACTGTGTTTGCGGTACCACGAGTGATCTTGAAATTGACATTGATAAATCTCCCAGCAGGTGAAGGTTTGAGTACCTTGACTGTAATGATCTTCTGTGTACTCCAAGTCAAGTACTGTGGTTGCCCATACTTCAGATAGAAGTCAATCAGCTCACGGTCAACCTTCGGATGAGGAAAAGGAACCTCAGCAGTTGAATCAAAACAATGGAATGTGAACGCCTTCCTTGTAATTGGCATGTCAAACTGCGAGTCCTTTGAATTATCACAGTCAAACGAAGCAACAGGTTCCAACCAATAGACTGATGGAAACTCTATAGCTTGATTGATAAGTGCTTCTTTCGTCCATAAGGGAAACAAGGCCTTTTTGCAGTTCAAGGCTTCTTCTACTTCCTTGTTTCTCCTTTCCCTCTCCTCTGCTTCTTCCGCAACTTTCAAATTTTCATCCAGCTCTCGGTCTCTCTTCTTTCTTTGGTGAGGAGTGCGGTGGCACCATCGATGCCTTTGAAGTAAGGCGGATTGCAGTCACGAAAGTGCTTGAACGAGCAACGAGGAGTGGTTACTGGAGCTTGTGGCTGAAGAGAATGAAGTTGGGTTGCAATTGTTGGGATGACGTTTGCTACCTCCTTGGCGATAAGGGCAGCTAGCCTTCGGTTGTTGCGAGCAGCGTATGGGGGTCGTAATGCCATCTACGAGAAACACGCATATGGACTTGTGAGTTATTTGTAAATTGATTATGGAAATAAAGTTTTTAGACATTGTTGGGTAAAATAATTATAAAACACTTGTTGGGCCATGGTTAGGAGTGTTGGGCACCTTTTGGGCTTTCCATGGTTACTAAATGTGAAACATGTAGCACTTGCGTGGGCCCCCCACAAAACTAAGTTTTCACATGTCTTCCCACTTCTAGGCCCATTAGGGAACTTAATAGTCCAATGAGTTGGCCATTTTGGAGTGTATCCTTTCGGATACGTTTGATAAGGTCGGGTATTTTGATGGCTCAAAAGTAATGTGAATGACGCGCTTTGGCCTATAGGTTTGGGAACTCTCGCCTTTGGTCCACATGTAAGCAAACTGGTCCCTCGGTTGATTGGGATGTATACGAATGCTTACCTAGTCAGGACTTTCGGGCTACCGGCACCTCCCCCTTCCAGTTACTACGCGTCCATTACTATGATCCTACCCAACTAGAGTGGATGACTTTGAATTTCCTATGAGCTCTAAGGAATATATATGTATATACAAAACTACTTGAATATGTGTATGATTTTCAGAGAAAGAGGAGAATATACACAAGTGTATGCACACATATAAGTGTCAGGAGTAATACGTATGCACATAAGGGAGCAATTAACACACGAAGGTATTCCTAGGATTTTCTAAGTGCGAATTGCATACAGTTGTGTGTGCATTTTATAAACTAGCATACGAGAGGACCCTAGAGGCTATAGACTAGGTCAAGGCAATTAACCTAATTCCCTATAGTCAAGGGCTCTGATACCAATCTGTCACACCCCGATCCTTGTCGGAATCGATCAAGGCGTGATATATTGTTCAAAGTCTCATGACAACTATGTTATAATATGATTAGATTCAATTAAGTACTAAGTATGCAAACAAGATCCACAACATACAAATACAAATACAAATACAAACAACATTTATTACATCAAATTTAAATTGTCTTGTGGATTTCTAAGGCACAACCTATTTTTCATCAATCTTCATTCTTCAAATCTGCATCATGGGTAAAAACAGGTCAACTACGAGAGTTGGTGAGTAATCAAATTTTTGTAGAGAAAATTGTGAAGTTGAAACATTTATAATTTGAAATTTGTTTTCTTTTGAAGTCGACAAACAATTGTATTTGAGATAACGGTTTATAAATCAAAAATTGATTAACAAATGATAACAACAACAATAAGTCCTCACCCTATATATACATATGTATATATATAAATATATATATAGGATGGAGCATCTAATCATCATATACACTCAACCACGTGCGATCAATCACCTTAGCGTCCCAAGGCGGGGTGGTCAACCCAATAGCGCTATTATTGTCCATAACGTACCTCAAGAATACGGGCATAGTCATGGAGATTAGACTAAAAATGATAATGCACTACAAGTACATGTAGCGTAAACAAACAACAGTTATACAATTAATGACTCACGTATAAATGTCCCAACAATGTCTCAATTGTGATAAAACAATAAAATGAAGTTGGAACATATTAGAACCACATGATACACCCCAAAAGTATTGAAAATTATAAAATATGGGGTAGATTACTCACATTAGTCCCAAAACGAAATGTGTGTGTCGTACGATAGACGGTTCGGGTCAAAATGGCGTAGAACCTAATATAATTAATAGTTTTGGTTTAGGAACTGCTAAACGAGAATGGAGTGTTAATACTAATAATTTAGACACATATTCTTATATTAGATGAATTAACAATAATTCATTTTGATTATAATATTAAGGTATTCATTTGTTAAATGAATTTTAAATTGAATTAATTACTTTGCATAATTAATTTATATTTTCAATTTAGGCCAGATTTTAATAATTTCTTATTAAAATAATAAATTGCCCAATTATAATTATTTACAGATTTTAACAATTATTTATATGAAATAATCATTAAAATGCATTTTTACATGCTTAAATACTTAGAAAAATGGTTTTAACTAGTAAACAGTATTGAAAAATTATGAAATTATTAGGAAATCATTATTTTATACAATATTAATTACTGTAAAATTTTTATATTTTTCTGAACTGTTTTAGTATTTATTAATACTTTAATGATTAAACAACAGCAAAATTCGGGAAAAATAGTAAATGATTCCCAAAAATTCTGTAAAATTAACCATAGTTTTATAACATGATATAGAGCCCAGTGTATAAGTTTCAGATATTTGTGACTATGGGAAGTATTTTTTATATATTTCATTATTAATTAATCAATAAAATCATAAATAATAGTAAACAGTAATATAAATGCATGAAACTTCATAAATTATGTTTAATCAATATATAGGTCATCCCATAATTTTCTCAGAATTTATTGAATGTAAAAAGTATTTTATGTGAATTATTGTCCTACTTTATTGCAATAATTATAGTAATTCAATAAAAATAAGTTATTTTCTGAAAATTTCCAGAACTTCTTATTTTATTGATGGTATTCTGAGAAAAATCAGGTTTCTGCATAAAATGAGTTTTAGATATTTTGGCGGATTTAATTTTTTCTTGTATGAATTTGAAACTTTTAACAACATACCTTGATGAATGTTTCAAGAGGGATGAAGATTTGAGTATAATAGATTGTTCTTGGATGGAATATGAGTATTTCTTGGAGGAAATTTCGAGATTGAGAGTGAGAGAAAGAATAGAGAAGGTTTAAGTGGTGAAGAGAATAATGTGTTGGGAGAAAAAGGAAAGGAAAGTGGATGGGAGGTGTGAGTGGGAGACCATGGGAATAATCTTTTTGCTTTTGGTGGTCTTCGTTGAAATCTCCATCGGAGGTTTTCATTTTCTTTATCTCCTTTCCAAACTCTCTTACACTGTTTTGCCCTAAAGGTAGCACTAATCACTGCCACCACATGACCACAACCTCCTAAACACTACCACCACACGCAACAGCGGCATCAAAAATAACTTGAAATTCTTCGGAAGATGAAGAAGATGACATTTTGAGAGAGAAGAGTGAATTTTTTTTCTATTAATTTAAGAGAGAATGGTGATTTTTGTTTGAAAAATAATGAAGTGGGTAGTATAATTTATAGGAAAGAAAGGAAAAAGGAAAGAAAAAAAAATTAAATATTCGAAATTTTGACCGTTCAACGGTCCTTTTCCCCATCAACCAATCACATTGCACGACTATAAATTGTCACACTGCGCCTAAACCGCAGGAGACCGCGGTCAGGGGGCGGTGTGCGAGGCTGAGGTGGCAAAACCGAGGCTCCAAACCGCGACCACTCCCTCAAGCCTAATGAAACGGTGTAGTCGATCCCAATGTTGTGGGGTTTTCTTAAAGATGAAGGCACAGGTGAGTTAAAGGTAGGCAGTGGCCTTCCGATTGGTTGATGAAGACGGTGGGAAAAAAAGGAAGTCAAAACAGTTAAAGGGACTGTGTGACAAAAAAAGATCGGTGGCTAATGTCCAAAGTGCAAGAAGATCGATCGGAGGAATAATAGGCGAAATTTAAAAACCAAAACCACCGTCTTCCAAAATCACCTCTTGAATACTTGTTCCCGAGTTTTTTTTTTTTTGTAAATTCATTAAAGAAAGATGAAGGAAAATTTTGACAGAAAGAAATGGAGGTGAAAGAAAATATTCATTATTCCGTATTTCCAAGTTCGAAGGAAATGAAAGGAAAATTTTAAGTTTTTGTGTTCCCGAGTTAGGAGGAAAAAGAAAATAAAACTTAAAATTTTCATTTCCCTTACTTTCTTCCCAAATTCGCCCAATTTAGGAGAAAAATTTGGAAGGAAAATATGGCTCCAAAATCATTTACCACCAAGTCGACATTTTATTCTTTTTTTATAAGTAGGAGGGTGCAAATGAAGTATTTATTTTAACATCGGGTACTAAAATGCATTTACTTCAAATTAGAAGTTAAAACATAAAGTCAGAATAGCAAACGGAAGGGAAAAATCACGCATAAACCCTTTTTTCTCTATCGCCGGATAAGAATGGCGACAGCTGTGCCGACGCCGTCTCGGACGGAAATCATCGCACTTTTCCGGTCGCTTCTCCGTTCAGCTCGCCAGTTTCCTGACTACAACATCAGGGAGTACACAAAACGCCGTACAATTGATGCTTTTCGTGACAACAAGACTCTATTGGAGCCGTCATCAATCGCTGCCGCCTTTACCGACGGCAAGTCTCAGCTTCAGGTTGCCAAAAGACAAGCTGTTGTTTATTCACTCTACGCCCCGAAGATCAAAAGTATCATGGATATCAAACACTGATTTGTTTAAACGGTATTTGTTTTTTTCCTTGTTGCTGTTAGGGTTTCTGGCTCGATTGCCATTTCATTTGCATTGAGTTTGTAGACTTCCGGATTAATGTATTTATAGATTTTGAGCTTATATTTACTCTAATAATTTGTGAACTTTCTAATTTACTGGAAATATAAGTTTCTTTCAGTTTCCAATATATACCGGCAATCATCTGTTTACATGGATCGTTGAAAGTTCCTATTTAGAATCCTCCTACAGGGGCCAACCTTCTTCGTTAGGAGTACTTGTAAAGTTAGCTTCAAAGTTCCTGTTGAATTTCTAGAATCGGAACCTCACAGTCACAGCAGATATGGATAAACGAGTTCTTTCTCCTATTTATATAGGACCATGTACAAAGTAATAATAGTTAGTCGTGTCCATCACAAGGTACATAACAAAATTGACTCAAACATTTTGAAAATCAATGAGCATAATAAAGCTTTATAACGATCACTTGTAGTTAGACACAGTAGCAGCAACAACTGATTGTATAATATGATGATACTATATTTAGGAATTAGGAGAAAGTACATAAAACAGTAGATTTGGTCTACATAACATAATAATAGATTTCAGTTATGCAGAGGGTTAGGTCCACCAGGAACAAATCGCTTCTGTATGTTGAATCTTGTATCCATAGGTGGAGGTAGAATAGTTTCATGTAATAATCGACACCTGATGCAACAAAAGCAATGAAGAGGCTGATGATGATTCTTATTGTTGCCTTGTTGTTGATGTTTATCGCTGAGAGTCCTTCCTTCTACTTTCAGTGCTGCAATTAGGCAACAAAGAAACACAGATGCCAGAATCTTGTGTCTAAAAACTGACCTCTTCATGTTCATGGTGGAGTGTGGAGTGAGAGTGAGAGTGATGGTGATGGGTTTGTGGGGGACTATATGTTATGAAGGAGACGACTCATAAATAAGATACATTGGGGTCAGGTGAGGTCACAGGTGGATTAGCCTAATTCTAGAATGTGTTTTTTGAGCTTGTTTAATGTGATCTTATTCTGGAGTCTGGAGGAGTTTGTTGTAATTTCGTTTGTGTTTGATATATTGACTTGAAACAGTAGTGTGTGTAGCTGATTGCAGGTATGATGACAACCTACAGTGTCAATGGCATTTATGATTGATGACTAGTCCTAATAAGGACAAACAGATATCGTTTTTGTGCCTTCTGCACTTATATACACACGTATCTCTATTGTTATCACTTTTTGCAGGGTGAAAAAAGCTTACTCTTAGTTTGTGTTTTTTTAAACTTCAAAACTTTAACTTATAAAAAACGAGAAGGATATTCATATTTTTTGCACAAACAAGACATCGGGTTTGGGAGAGACTATTGATATAAGTGAGTCTCAGGCTAATGTATGTCAAACAGTATAGTATAACCTGTTAATTTTTAATCATTCATTTGATATTCAAGGAATGGGCTGAGGAGAGGGGGTTGACTGCATTTACTAGGAGAGTCAAAAAGCTTAACAAAAATGGTCATGTATAAAGCTGCTATCATCTCTTTTTGTTGGTTGGCTCAAATTTTCAATGCTTCATTCTTTTTTTTTTTTTTTTTTTACTTTCTAAATCGTGTTCTTATGTGGGGGGTGGGTCTTTAGATGTGATAATTCTTTTGATAATCATATCAAGTGTTTAAAACGATGCTAATTTTTTTTTTGTTGTAGAAGTCAATTATAATGGTTTTGCTTTGGCAAACATGGATCATAATTCGGCTTAAGAGTATTTTCTTTGGCAAACTTTATTTTTGATTATTTGTAGAAACGTTAACTAAGTTGCAATAATGATGTTGAAAATATTGTTTACAAAATCCTTTATATTTTCTCTCTAAAACTTTTGCTTACATTATATTGTTGGTAATTTATGAGCATTTTCAGATATTGAGAAGGTGTTTTCTAGGCTGCCAATATATTCTAATAAACTACTAATATTCATATGAACACTGTCAAAATATCTTCATCTTCATACAAGAATAAATACGTACGGAGTAGAAACTTAACTGGTAAGCTGCATTGATTTCAAAATAACAAATAATAAAAACAAATATTTTTGAAAAATAAATAGGTTTAAATCAGTTTGGTGGGTTAAATTTTAATTTAAACGTATAAACCAAAAATAAGAGACCCAAAAAAACGTTCTGAGTTGATGTTTTCATTTATATTTTTAACTTATATACTGAAAATCAAGTTGATTTGACATTTATATTTTTTATTTGTTCTCTCAATCATCATTTTGAATGATTAAAAACATAAGTAAAATTATAAAAATATTACCTCCTTTGCGAAATATATATAAATTGACAACCGGGGTGAGTGAATTTTGCATTTGATAGATATCATAAAACTGCAAAAAGAAAGGTATTAACTACCTCCACCAACCACCTTCTAAAATGTTAAAACAAAACAGCTTTAAAGGATTGTACTATGTGTACGTAAGACTTGTACTATAGTAATGAATTCATGTTTTATCTCCAGATCTTGTGTTCCATCATTGTCTCCATATGCATGAGTAACTGAAGTTTTATGTTAACCAAAATTTGTTCGACTCTTCAACATAAAACACTCAAATTAATTAGCATACGAAATTACGATGAGAGCTATCTTTTTTTTTAAATATCCAAAACTACAATTTGTTGTATAAGGCTTGAGGATGTGTGGTAAAGGTTGTCGTTTGCCATCTCAGTCGTGGCAAACACTACGCATTGCCTATGGTTTCGGGCGCGGTTATATATATATATATATATATATATATATATATATATATATATATATATATATATATATATATATTAGGTGTCTACCCGCGGAAAACGACGGCGTTAAATAATTTCATTCGAAAAATAGTGTTCGTTCTAAAACATGTCATTTCAAAGCAACTGTGGCAGACACACATTATTATTGGTTGATGGGTTATGCATTTATTGGATGTGTGTACATAAAACGTATACATAAACACCTTCATGTTTTTTATAATTGTAAAAAATAGCAATCTTATTTGTTTATTTAAAAATGTTTTTTATAATTGTAAAAAATAGCAAATATTATTTTTTTATTATTTTTTTAATAACATAATATTTATGAAATATACAAACAACAAACAACTTAAGTACATTGTTTTTATGATAATATATATACCATATATAACAAATCACGATATACATTGCTATTAGTACATGTCAAGCTCACTACACATCAAGTTTGCTAAATCTAAATTTGCAATCATAAATTAGCATTTGGTTCACTGAAATTAAATTTACATGGAAGAAACTGCTAAATTCACGTCGAAAATATTAGGTCTACTGATTCACATTGAAAACATCATGTTCACTAAATTTAAATTTGAAAGAGGTTCTAGTTTCGAAATAAGTATGGTAAATGATGGTCATCTAATGTGGAGTAGTGTTAAAGCTTGGGCATTGTGACGACTCAACTTGATTCAACTACTAACATTGACCAAATGAGACAATTTTTTTGACTTTTGAAAGTATGTTTCAAAAAGTTTTGCAAATTCATGGCACCAAGAGTTGACCTAATCAAATATATGAACGCATTTGAAAAATAACTAAATAAGAATAATTATTGCCGGTTCAATAGCCTATTATGTACACCCAATATATAGCATGAAAATAATATTTTTAAAATATTGTTAGTTTATGACATCAACATACTTTTAAATAAAGTTTTGCACAACTTGATTTCTTCCCGGAAAAAATTTACTTACTACCTGAATAAAAAAATCCAACAATGTACTTTTTTCATATTTGTATAAGAAGTCAGGACTAAACCCAGCTTTACTATCAGATCGGTTAAGAATTTAGATAATGTTATTCCGGTATTTTAGTTTGTTCCAATAGATGAAACTATCAGTTGAACTACTGAGATATTAGCCGGCAAAGGGAGAATGAAATGAAGGTAATATAAAGAGATGAGTATATTTTAGTAGAGTAAATTACACAAATCGTCCCTCGTGCAGGTGCTAAAATGCACGTTGAGTCCTTATTTTCAAAAATTAACTTGTATCGTCCCTTGTTTGGTTAAAAGTTGCACATGTCATCCCTCTGGACATAAAAATACTATTTTACACTTGATAATTTCTTTTTAATTTTCTTCTATTTGTTTATAAACTTCAGATTAAAAGAAAAAGAAAAAATAAAATAAATATTCACACTCAACACGCCTACCCCTCCCCTTCCCTTTCCCCAACTTCGTCTTCCCTATTTTCACTATGTCCTCTTCCTCACCATCGAATCCAACAGCCCATTTCGCATCTATATAGTCTCCACCGATCGTCTGCGTGTGGTATTTAGAGTGTGTGCGGAGCTTTTGGGGCTACCACCACCCCGTTCTTCCTCATTTGACGCCGCCTAGGGTTTTCTCTGCAAGTCGGAACCACCACCAGCATACCTGCAACTTGCGGTTCTATTTTTGTGTGTTTATCCCCAAAGCAAGTCTCGACACAAACACCGTCTTCTTCTTCTCCCTCCAATCAATCACCAGATGTGTCTTCTTCTTCCTGATCTTGATACAATCGACAATCACCAACAAGAAAAATTAAAATCAGTCTTTCCTTCTTTTCTCTCCTTAATCGATAAATCACCCAGGTACATATCAAGAATATATCATCCCTCGCTAATGTGTGTGTTGTTTATCTCAATGAAGTGAAGCAGACAATGATTGGAGGTTAGGGGTAAGAAATTGATGAACAGGGGATTTCCCCTTTCCTTTTGTTTTTGTTTGTGTGTTAACATGATTTGCATAAAGGTGTTGGCTTGGTAGGGCTGTGATGGTTAAGTTTGTGGTTGGATGTGATTACAGAAGGAGAAGGAGGTGATGATGGCGGAATATGTGTAGGTGTTGACATTGGCTGTTGGTGGGTGGATAGAATGGTGGTTGTACTGGTAATGAATTTTGGGTGAGGATGAAGGTCTCTGGTTATTTATGGTTTATAGATGGAGAATGG